GCAGAGCGTAATTGATCTTCTTTGCCATTTTTTCCCTCATTCTATCGATGTATTACCACCTGAGACTAGCTTTGTATATGGTGAGCCTCCAGTTGTGATTGAGCCAGGTAGTGATGAGAATGCAATTATCACTATTTTTGGATGTAGAGGAAATGTTGGAAAAATGGTAGGTTTTGGCGCTGAGCAGGTCATATTAGTGCGTGATGACTCTGCGAGAAAGGAAATATCTAACTGGATTGGACATCGAGCTCTTATTTTGACCATAGTGGAGTGCAAGGGCCTTGAATTTCAGGTGAGTAATTTGTGCCTCTTTCATTTTCTCCCTTTCTCAAGTTACTTTCGAAAGCATTGCATTATGTAAGATACTATCTCATCTCAAAATATTATTAGATGCAGAAATTACGCGAGTGATATATGTTATGCCAATACATTATTGCTGTTTATTCTCACTAATGTTGCACATTGCGCTTTAGGATGTGTTACTATTCAACTTCTTTGGCTCTTCACCCCTGAGGAGTCAATGGAGAGTAATCTACGAGTTCTTGAAAGAAAAAGACTTGTTTGATTCCGGTTTTCCCAAGTCGTTTCCAAGTTTTAGCCAATTAAGACACAATATCTTGTGTTCTGAACTAAAACAATTATATGTGGCCATTACTCAAACAAGGCAAAGATTATGGATTTGTGAAAACGCTGAAGAGCTTTGCAAGCCAATGCTTGATTATTGGAAGAGACTTGGCCTTGTGAATGTGAGGAAAGTTGATGATTCACTAGCACAGGCAATGCAAAGAGCAAGCAGCCCAGAGGAATGGAAATCACAGGGAATTAAGGTTACGGTGCTTTTCTACACATTTTTTCCTTTCACCAATTCCTTTAATTTGTTACCCTCTTTGGTATTCCGTTTGATGCTTGGTTATTGTGTTGAAAAATTGGTCTTATGTACTTATGCCAGCTCTTTTGGGAAAAAAATTATGAGATGGCCATCACGTGCTTCGAAAGAGCTGGAGAACCAACATGGGAAAAACGAGCTAAAGCTGCTGGCCTTAGGGCATCTGCTGATCATATGCGTAGTTCAAATCCCAATGAGGCCCGTATAATGCTTAGAGAGGCTGCCGAATTATTTTATTCAGTTGGCAAAACAGATTCAGCAGCTGAATGTTTTTTTGACTTGGAGGAATATGAAAGAGCAGGTGCATTATAGTTTGTTGCACAAAATACTAAACCACTACACACTATAAATAGTCTTTCTAATGCATTGCATATATCCTAATTATTTTTATGAGTATATTTTAATGAAGTCTGCATTTTTTTCCTTCGTTTAACTTTCATAGTCTTCTGAATGTTAAAATATTTTTAGCGATGCATCAATTCTGAAATTCCCACTCTGCAAGGTGCTAAATTATTTCTTGGTATAGTCTACGGTTTAAGAAGGAAGGTGCAACCTAAATACCATAAATATGAGCAACGTTTATGTGATGCCCTATTAATATATGACAACAAACTGATTCACTAGAAAATCCTATTCAGGAGTTGACTAATTTGCAGTTCCATCCATAACTTGTGTTTCTATATTTGCTCTAGGCCTGATGCACACACCTAGCTGCACCTTCATGCGAACTTTTGATTTCACATTATTTCAAGTTTTATATGAACAGTTCTTTATGTTTATCATTCTTGTATCCTTCCTTTTGATTCTAAGTTTAGCTATTTTCATAGTAATGAATATATGGTTACTCATACCTTTTATGTTTACAAACTATAATCTGCATAACTATTGCTGCAGGAAGGCTTTATTTGGAAAAGAGTGGTGAATCAGAGCTAAGAAAAGCTGGTGAATGTTTTACTCTAGCTGGACGCTATGAGCTCGCAGCAAAAGTTTATGGGAAGGGAAACTTCTTTGTAGAATGCTTGTCAGCTTGCAATAAAGGGAAATGTTTCGAGATTGGCTTGAAATATGTTGAGCATTGGAAACTGCAAGCATCATGAACTGATGGTATGATGAATAGGTTTAAAGATTTGGACAAAATTGTGCAGGAGTTTTTGGAGAGTCGTGCTCTGGAATGTCACAAGTTTGATGATAAAGTATTGTTGGTGAAATTCGTTCGAGCTTTCCACACAATGGAATCCAGACGAAACTTCTTGAAGTCTCTTGACTGCCTTGAAGAGCTTTTGTTTTTGGAGGTAGATACGGGAAACTTCATGGAAGCTGCAGAAATTGCCAAAGTGATTGGAAATCTTCTACTTGAGGTTGATCTTCTTGGGAAAGCGGAGCATTTTAGAAATGCCTCTTTA